GGGGCCTAAATTTGGGCAAATAGTTACCCCCCCCACCAATAAAAAGAGGTAAAAACACTATGAAAGTGTAAAAATAGGTTTTAATACCAGCAATACATTTTTAGAATAATTATTACTAGCAGTACATTTTTGAAAAAGAAAAAAATATTACCAACAACACATTTTTGGAAAGAAAATATTACCAGCCATAAACATCGGGTCGCCATTAAATAAAATATTCAGATTGATATGCCGTAAAACAAACTAAACCAAACCAAACAACTTATTGACATTAAACCGCGTATTATTAATATATATATATATATATATATATATATATATATATATATATATTTTTTTATTTCCTTTGATTTCTGGCGTTTACACATTTCTTTAAGCCCCGCCCCCCGGACCTAAGGTCAGAAATGGCGTCATGACACTTTCCACTGACAACAAAAAAAAAAATATTACATAGATAAAGCCCTTTGTAAAGTGTGGGCTGTACTTGTCAGAACAATTTTTTGCATCTCCTTGAGGCATGGACTTTCAGGAATCTCTTCAATTAGTCTATTGGAATTTTTTCCAACCAGTCCTAGGTCTCCAACTACAACATGGATTGTTGATGTTCCCATATGCCACATTTTTGAGATTTCTGTTTCAAGGTCCTTGTATTTTGAGAACTTTTTGAATATCTTCAAAGATACATTGCAGTCAGCAGGGACTGTCATATCAATAAGGAGGCACTTTTTTGTTTGTGGTCTTTAATAACAATGTCTGGGCGGTTGGCATTGATTGTTCTATCAGTGTGTATTGTGTAGTCTCCATAATATCCTGTTTTTTGTACCTCCTAATAAATGTTTACTTTTTCTATCTGGCTTAAATCCTGTCTGTAATATTCAGTAAATTAATATCTTTTTCACATTTTAACTAATTCAGTATAGTTTTAAGAAAACCTAATTAAAAGGCTTATTTTGACTTACTACATAATTTTATTATGTTTTCCGGTTTCATTCGACTAATTTGCATATACTAATTTGCCATCTAGAATTTTTATGATCGATTCACAGTAATTGTCACCAATTCTTTCAACAAAATGATCAATTGACAGTGTTATAAATAGGACTAAACTTAGCTTACCTATTCATGATGCAATATTGTCGATGATATATCACAAACATAATTACGGTCGTCTTTCTCACCTGCCGCCAGAGTTTCTTGGGTCATTAAATATATAAACATCAAAATGAATGAAATATTCGATGTGTTCTTTTAATATCTGTGATTTTTACGGGCTTCAATAATAGTTGGTATATACCATAATGCTAAGATTAAGGGAATCGTAACGAACAGACTTTGAGATGTCATATTGCAGATTAATCTGATTAGTTGATTCTTTTCTTTTTTGGATTTGTAGATTATTGGGAGAGCGTAAAATGTATCCAAAATGTCCTTTTCTTTGTAACTCTTAATAAATGTTTACACTATTTACATCGTTCGAACTGTTGTCATCATCTTTATTGCCAGATTAACGACGTTTCGGCCGTTTTACGATCCGACATTCTTCAGGTGATATATGTTGGTATTTCGAAGTGAAACCTTTATTTAGTTCACCGGTGTAGATTGTTCTAGTTCTACAAAATCATTACATTGTTTTACTGTTACTACAGCTGATGCTATTGAAACACTGTTGTTGTTTGTCTTTCTTTCTTACCATACCATATTTATTACTATGCTAGGTCTACTGAAGAGGTGCTCATATCCTTGTATATGAGTTGATTCTTTCAGTCGTCTATCCAGTGTTCTTTGTTCAATTCATTACACAGAGGCTGATGGTCGCCCTTTTATCTTCATACATGATCAGCCATGCCTGATTTTCTTATTTCGTACCTCACTACGGCTTTTTTTTAATATTTCTTCAACCTCAGTTAATAGTCCCCATGTAGATAATGATCACTCCTTATCCCAGAAATTCAAGCAGGAATTACATTCTTGTAAGATTTTCATGCGTTTTTTTTTTTAATCAACATTAGTTTCTTTATCATCATTAAATTCGTTCTTCATTATTTCCACCACGGCGGCCACAGAAAACGCAATCATCATCATCATCATCATCATCATCATCATCATCATCATCATCATCATCATCATCATCATCTACGCCACTGCCACCATCATCATCATCATCATCATCATCATCATCATAAACGCCGACGCCGCCACTACCATCATCATCATCCTGTTACGGATAAAAAGAAACGTATAAGTCACACAAAAATAAATAAATAAATAAATAAATAAATGAAATGTTAACTAGTGGCTTCTCTCCAACCAGCCTCAGCCACGTCACCGTGTCCAGATAAATTAGCACCGTGGGCAAATCTCGTTAAGTACGATAGTTTATCTCGGTTTCTCGCTAAATCACGCGAAATCGCACTGGATGAGCAGCATTTAAGCACCTATGTAAATGACGAAGACATAGCCTGATTGGTTTTTAGCAGTGTTCAAAGGATCCTTTGGAAATGCCGGCTGTATTATAAAAAGTTCATTAGTAAATACCACTCGTTTTTTGCATACCTGAATTAGCGGAAGGAAAATTATTATAATCACTGTTCCTATTTACGTTTTATTTCTATATTTTTAGATTTTTTTTTTTTTTTTACTCATTCTTTCGTTATTTTTTTCAGATTCATTTATGATTTGTTATCTTCAAGTGTAAGACAATATTTTTCATTGTTTTTCGAAGTGTGGATTTGATCTGCTTACACTTCGCCTATTTTGTTGATTTTACTGAAATTTTCTTTCAGAATGCATAGCTGTTAGTAAAAAGAAACAGTCCGACATGCAAATTATGAAATGGCGATATCGAAATCAAGCAAGTACAACAATTTAACTATCTGGAAATTGTTTAAACAAAGGACGGCACGTGCGACACTGAAATTCTAAAGGGGAATTGGGATAAAGAAAATTGCATTCTAAAATCTTAATTTATTATGAAACAGAGAAATATCGTACACTATTTACATTATTCGGGCTATTGCCCTCATCTTTGTCACCATATTTATTAAAATGTTTCGGCCGCTGTACGCTCCAGGCTTCTTCAGGTGGCTGGAATATCGAACTGAACCCTTTATTTCCCACACTGGGATAGACTGTTCTAGTTCAACGTGCCATATCTAATGGATGTCAGTTTTCAGTTATCTCCTGTTATTCCCCCTCTCCAAGCTCTCCACCGCCTTCACCAGGTATTGAACTCACATTCTTTGGGTACTGTCAATGGATCTAACAAGGACACATCTCACAGTGAATAAAGGCGTTAGTTAGATCCAGTGACAGGACCCAAACTAGGACAGTCTACCCCAGCGAGCGAAATAAAGGTTTCAGTTTGACATTCCAACCACCTGAAGAAGGCCGGAGCGTATAACGACCGAAAAGTGGGAATAAATATGGCGACAAAGATGAGGACAATAGTTCGAGTAATATAAATGGTGTACAAAATGCCTCATCTCAGAAATATTGGCAGATAGAGAAATATCACTAGAAACAAAGAAAACGGCATGAACTGCTATGAAATATCAGTCCTCTCATAAAAGCAGTTAATGCTGGACAATTTCCCGAGATGAAGAAAAAAAAACCTGAATCAACACAAATCTGGTTCTACATAAGGATGCTGAGAATACTATGGGTCGAACATGTATGGAATGACCTAGTTCTAGAAACAATGAAAATAAAGGAACCTTATAATTAACACCAGGAAGAGACAGTTGAAATTTCTAGGTCACATGATGCGGAAAGAAGGCTTGGGAATTTTGAAGTACATATCGAATGCAAGAGAAACAGATTAAAGCCAGCGTGGAACCTACATAGCGAGCTTGAGTTGATGGATGACGGAGCAAGGTTTGGGAGAGACTACATAAAGATCAAATTTATTAAGAGCTACAAAGGACAGGAAATTGTCGAGAGGCATGATTACCTGCGTTCTAAAGAGACACAGCACATAAAAGAAAATTTTATTTACTAATTTGAATTAGTTTTCTTTAATGTTAAATACAGTTGATTATGACTTTAATATTCCATGTATTGAGAATGTAATTGTTATCGATGAAAAAAGTCAAGACGAGTTCAAATTCGGCCTTATCTGCAGCGCCCACTTTTACAAAAATGCCCTTGTCAAAGGCATGAATCTTGCTATTTGACCTATAGCTGATTGAGAAGTATATCCTTCAGCTATAGGTTAAATATTACAGTAGGAGGAAATCTTTGAATCCTGATACGAATGCATTATCTTTCCAAAGAATAAATGACTAATTGTCAGTAAATAAAGAAAAGAAATAGTGGAAGTCTGGATCTCCTACGTTATGAAGGAACCCGGAATTAAAAAAACAACTTATATATATATATATATATATATATATATATATATATATATATATATATATATATAGTCTTATGGTTTGCTATATTTATGGGATAAAGTGCTTAATATCAGAGATAGAGGCCTGAAGATTACGTCTAGCATGAAACAGACTGTCGCCTCTAAGTGTTGACTTCAATGTTCACTTTTATACTTTATATATATATATATATATATATATATATATATATATATATATATATATATATATCTGATTCCTTCTTCATCACGTTTTTAAAAAAAATCTTTATTATTTCATTTGTAGTTGTATATTTTCAACTTGAATGCTTGGGCTCGGTTCGATAAAATGACAATATTAAAATGAAATTTGTACTTAATTTCTGGAATCTTCTTGGAATATATTTGGTCTGTTTCTATTTTTCATATTTTTTCTCTTTTTTCTTTTTGTTTTACGTCGCATCTTTCAGCCTTTTCATATTTTACTCTTTCATTTCATTATTTCACTTTCCTAGCAATGGTTTTAGCATTTTGCTTGAAGTAACTTGCAAATTCAATCTCATAAAAATATCATCAATTACTCCTTTCGGATTTCTTTCCTTCATTCTTTCTTTCTTTCTTAATCGCAAGTTTCTTCCTTTCTTTATACCAGGCTTCTCTCCGTCCTTCTTTGTTTGTTTGTTGGTTTGTTTCTTTCTTTCTTTCTTTCTTTCTTTCTTTCTTTCTTTCTTTCTTTCTTTCTTAATCTAATTCTTCCGTCTTTCTTTCTTTCTTTCTTTCTTTCTTTCTTTCTTAATCTCATGCTTCCACCCATACTTCTATCTTTATTTTCTTGTTTTCGTTCTTAATATTATGTGTCCACTTTTCTTTCTTAATCTCGATCGTCTCACTTTCTTTTTCCTTTCTTTCTTAATCTCATTCTTCTGTTGTTCTTTCTTTCTTAATCCCATTCTTATGTCGGTCTTTCTTTCTTCCCTAATCTGCAGCACCCTTCTTTCTATCATGCTTCTGTCCATCTTTCTTTCTTTCTTTCTTTCTTTCTTTCTTTCTTTCTTTCTTTCTTTCTTTCTTAATTTCATGCTTCCGCTTTTCTTTCTTTCTTTCCCTCGTGCTTCACGCATTCTTTTTTCTTTCTTTTTCTTTCTTTTTTAATTTTTCTTTCGTTCTTTCTTTTTTTTATCTCATGCTTCCGCCCGTCTTTTGTTCTTTCTTTTGTCTTAATCTCTTTTGTCTTCTTTCTTTCTTTCTTTCTTTCTTTCTTTCTTTCTTTCTTTCTTTCTTTCTTTCTTTCTTTAACACATGCTTCTCTCCGTCTTCCTTAAACCCATGCTTTTGTCAGTCTTATTTTTCTTTTTCTCTTTTTCATTCTTTCTTTCTTTCTTTCTTTCTTAATCTCAAGCTTCTTTACATATCTTTATATCATGTATCTGCTCATATTTCTTTCTTTTTTTCCTTTCTTTCTTTCTTTCTTTCTTTCTTTCTTTCTTTCTTTCTTTCTTTCTTTCTTTCTAAATTCCCTGCTTCCGTCTTTCTTTCTTTTTTTTCTGTTCTCTCAATCCAACATTATTTTTACTTTCGGCTTATTTCTCCCATAGTCTTTGTCCATTTTATTTCCCTTGCTTCCGTTTCTTTTCTCTCCCATTTATTTCTTTTCGTCTTTACTTTCTTCTACTTCCCTTTACTCATCCTTTACGTCCAAATCTTTTTTTCTAACTTATCAACACATTATTTTTGTTCTTTTGTTCATCTCGTTTTTCCACTGTGCGAAATAATCAGCAGGTGTGCAAAGAAAAGGGCGCCAATATTTGTGGGCCAGCGCCATTTTATCCACTCATTTTCAACAACACTTTTATGAAGGCCACAATGTTACCTGCAGCCATACGATTGCAAGGCGCCAACAGTCTCTATTTGACAAAACCTTTTTATCACTCCTTATTTTTTTACCACCTAGAATTTAAATGTTCGGCAAACAATACCCAAAACATACCCCCAAAATACCTACAATAATAATAGCAGTGCAGACAGTCACAATATCAACTTCGGCAATAAATTAGCGAACAATCAGGGATAATAATAATAACAATAATAATAATAATAATAATAAAAATAATAATAATTGAACTTGTAAGTCATGATGAGACAATGATACACTTACTATGAATAATAATAAGAAGGAAAAGGTCAAAAACAAAAGGAAAACGACAATAATTGGAATAGAAAGAAAAAATTGAAAAAAAATGCAAGCAGAATGATATATAAATAAAGAACACACTTATTCACTCAATCTCTCACACACACAAACACTCACATACACAGACACACACACACGCACAAACACAGACACACAACAGGCATATAAGAGTTTGGGAGTGAATAAGAGGGAGTGAAATAATGCCTTACTGAGTCTGGTATAAGGACAAATATTAGTGTGACGAAAACAAGAGGCTTTTCATGAATCAGTCTTTTTGTATGATGTGGGTTAGTTTCAAAATTCATGATCAGTTATATATATATAAGTTATATATATATATCAGCACCAGTTATATATATATATATATATATATATATATATATATATATATATATATATAATAATAAAAACTTAAACACTAATACTCCATGGTCATAATTTACTCCATTGGAATCGTAAATACGATGTATATGTAAATTTTCCACTAATATTATCTATCTATCTATCTATCTATCTATATATATATATATATATGTGTGTGTGTGTAGCCTCTGAGTGTTGACTTCAATGTTCACTTACACACACACACACACACACACACACACACACACACACACACACACACACACACACACACATATATATATATATATATATATATATGGGTACGATAAAAATATGAATATACTCACGTATACTTGCACGTACTTGTAATATATTTCTTTCTCAGGTGTGATAAACACAGTGCTCAATATTATGTAACAGAGCTAATAAGTATATATTAGTGAATATACATAATATACAACTTCGATAGCACGACTCGGAGTTTCATGCGGTCTTGCAAACTTAGGTGATAATTATGTTCTGACCGTTATCAAATTCGCGTTCTCTTTTTGATGATTTAAAATTGTTATATATATATATATATATATATATATATGTGTGTGTGTGTGTGTGTGTGTGTGTGTGTGTGTGCGTGTGTGTGTGTATCAGGTCATCCCATATGTTCTGTCCGAATTTTGAATAAAGAAAACAAGTGACTAAATGTTACATTTAATTACAGTTTCAATCAACAATGTATTTTCCCTGATTATCTATGACTTCCTTCCATCTATTAACAAGCTTACTAATTCCATTACTGTAAAATTCTTTGTAAAAGGCTTTGATTCGAAGAACTCACAAACGTCAGTTTTAACCTCTTCCTGTGTTACAAAAGCTGTTTCTTCCAAATGATTAGCTACGAAACAAATGGTAGTCTGAAGGAGCAAGATCGGGAGAATATTGGTGGATGAGGAATTTTCTTCCAACCAAGTTCTTCGATCTTTTGTGACGTGATTCTTGCTGTGTGGGGTCGCGCATTGTCCTGATGAAAAAATCACCTATTTTCGATTCACTAGAGTAGGTCTTTTTTCCCTCAAATCTTGATTGAAACGCTCTAATTGCTGACAGTATATTTGAGCATTTATTATTGCATTAGGTGGTAAAAATTCAAAGTGGATTATTCCTTGGCGATCCCACAAGATTGAAAGAAGAACCTTTTGCCCATGAAGTTCCCTTCTCGGCTGTGGCTGGGGTCCTTCCCCTTTACCAAGCCACTGTCTACGATGCTTAATATTTCGATAAAAGATCCATTTTTCGTCCTCAGTCACAAGTCTAACCAAAAACGGTGAAACAAGTTGGCGAGAATGGAGAGAAGAGCAGATGTCAACTCGTGATTTGAGGTTGTTTTCAGACAATTCATGAGGCACCCATTTTCCAAGTTTATGAACTTTTCCAAGTTGTTGAAGATGACGATGAAAAGTTGTATGGTTTGAACTGAGAACCACTGCCAATTCCTCAACTGATAAAGCAGGATTTTCTCCAAGGGCTGCTTCAAAAAACTTTTCATCAAACTCAACTGGACGTCCGGTTCGATCTTCATCTCCACCTCTGAATTTTGCAGACCATCTTCTGCAAGTTCTTTCATTCACACATTCCTCTCCATAAACTGAGTGAATGTTTCTAGCCGATTCGGCTGCTGAGTTTCCTTTCTTGAACTCATAAAGCATTATGTGCCTCAAATGATTCTGGTGCACTTCCATGTTAGCAGGGTTTTAATCAAACATTTTATTTTATTGTTCTCTGAAATAGAATTTGATCAGTTTAAATGCATCTAAACATAAAAATAAGGTTCAGCCCCATTAGACATAATAAAATACTCTTTAAATTTCGTTCATTTTAGCAAAAAGTTAAAATTCGGACAGAACTTATGGGATGACCTGATATATATATATATATATATATATATATATATATATATATATATATATGTATCTCTCACTCTTTCTCATTTTCTCTCTGTCTCTCTCTCTGTCTCTCTGTCTCTCTGTCTCTCTCTCTCTCTCTATATATATATATATATATATACACACATATATATATATATATTTATATATATATATATATATATATATAGGGAGAGAGAGAGATTAATGGATTTTATTTGTGAAGCGACGTTGTTTCGTATTACATTAAACGTTATATTTCGTAAATATTCGTGTTTCAGTAGCCATCTTTGATTTTTAAACAGTGTATACTAAGTTGCCTCTGCCTTTGAGGGTCTAAAAGAAAATCGGTTTTCCGGAACTGTTCGAACCTGAACCCTTTTTGGAGAGAGAACAACTACATAGACTGCCGTGACTTTAGACCGTTCAGTTACGGAAGACGTTAGCATTCAAGCTTATACCGAGTGTAACAGCAAAATTAACCTACTTTCTGTCCTGGAGTAACAAGCTGCCCCACAGTTTTCATATACGATTTTATTTTCAAGTTTTTTTTCATTGCTCTTTGGACTGCCATAACTGAACCTCCTCTCGGAAGCCTCAAATGCTTTATGGACTGAATTGTATCTTTTCTAATTGATCTCTTTAGCTCTAAGTTGAAATGATGACCCCTTTTCCTGTTGTGACCTCCTGATCCTGTTTTCCTCTCTGCTTTTTCCTCTTTTTAAAAACTTATTCGCCGTTCTCTTGATGGTTCTTAAATGGATTTGAAGACAAAAACCAGAGTATGAATGTTGGTAACATTACTGAAGGCTTGAATGATCTTTTCTCTCTCATCATTGCTCAACTGCGGAGACATAGTGGGACTGACACAAAACGATTTTAATTTGTTTTCTTTCTAGCTGAATAACTCAAAGGGATTTTTCAGTAATTCTTATGATGAATGGTGACAAAATTCCTGGAAAAAAAGAAACTCAGTTTAGCATTTTTTTTTAGACATTAGATATTTGTGAGATGGACAATTTTGCTGTTACGCCCGTTAAATATTTTAAAATAAATAATGATTCAATTCAAAATTCCAAGACGCAATGATGTCAACCTATTGTACAACGGATTCAAACATTGTGAATAAAAGGTATGAGGAAAAACAATAATCCGAATAGATTAACGTGTTTTGGCACTAATTCTGGAAGAATTCTCACCAGAACACTTGAAAATTATGAAGGTGTAAATGTATATTTGTGTATGTTTTTGTTCAGACATTCACTCAATATATTCTTGTATTTCTTTGAGGTTAAACTTAATAAACCACTGAAAATAGTGAGCGATACTGACGATCCTGTTCGTTAAAAGATTCTTCGCCTGTTTTACCATCTTCATTTTTCTCCGAGCGCTATTTCAGCAATGGTTTCCATAGTGGAGGAACGACCGGTGTATGTTGGTGCAGCGGAGAATGATCTTACTATGGAAGGTTCTATCCGGTCGCATGTTCATGCCCTTTGGGTCTTTCGAGGAAAACAGACATGTTGTTCGTGAAATGACGCTTCCATTCAGTTCTTCGATTCTGGAAACACATTAATCTGAAGAATAATGAATGGTCAATATTTTAAAGAAGAAAGAAAGAGAATATTTCTGTTCATATTCAAAAGAGAAAAAAATGAAAATCTTCACAGAGGATCGTAAATCCTGCATTAGAAATTTACATGTTTAATTGCATAAGATTACAAAACAAAAACTTCGCACGCCAATACGAAAGTAGAATTTGCTTTAAGCTACCAAAAAGTAAAATCTAACAGTTCCTTTTCAGCTTGTAATTTAAAAAAAAAATTTCATATATAAATCGCAATATATAACAGAGAATCTTACCGAAGGCATTATTCTCAGTTATAAATAATTTCCTTTTTTGTTTATCAAATGAAGTACAGTTAAATTTTACTCAGTTACATATTCACCATTATTTGCAAAGATTTTTGCAGCTTATCAGATATTTTTGAAGCAAAAATCTACAGGTTTTGATTTGAAAGTTTTTTTGAAGAACTCTTAAATCTTGTTTTCATTAG